GTATGTGTTTTTGTATTATATGTAAGCGGTGACTAGACCTCTTTCGCGGATTGAGATACAATCTCAACGGTGGTCGATTCTAGAGATAAAAAAATAAAAAAATACATCTTAGTACTTGATACATCCAATTTAAAGGAAAATAGTTTGTTACTTTTCCATTCAGCATAAACACATTTTGAATTTGATAGTAGCGTTCGAATCAAGGAACTTTAAAAGCTGTTTAATGTTTGCGGTATCTCAATATGAATCTCACTCAGATTTCACTGGTAAACCGTAAAAAATAAGTCACTGTTACAAAGTCAAACCAAACCAAACAAAGTCGTGATATAGACCATCGCTTATTGAATAATGAAGAACAACACTTATGTTGTTTTTTCCTTGTTTTTATCATTTTTCACCTTCCTGTACAAAAAGTTTCCACGTTATCAAGTTATAGCTTATATGTATTAAAACGTTATGGTAGTCATCATTGAAATGGGTAATAGGGGGGTCAAAACAAGTCAAAAAGTTCATACGACCCATGGTCCAACGGTCAATAGTTTTTTGACTAAATGGCTTTATAGCTTATAACTTTAAGTGCTTTATATCGACCACAATCACCACAATCCTACTAATTTTTATAATCTAATCTAAAACATTTTTAAATTGTTTAATTAACAAATAAATGGCATTAAGTTGAATATTTAAAACACACATGACAACTGCGCGTCGTCATCACTGTTATCGAACCGGCAATCGATCGCAAACGGTAACAGGGGTTAGTTATCGGGCATCGGGCGTGCTGTTTTCTTTTTGTTCCCGTACGTCGTCAAGAGTTCGCCGACATGTTGTTAGTTTACGGTGAAGCTCGTCAGAATTCAAATCAAGCAGCTCAAATTTATCGCGACAGCTTTCTCCAACGGGTACACCGAAGGACATTTGTGCAAGTGTACCAAAGACTTCGAGATACAGGAAGTGTTCAGCCCACTAATATTCGCACTCGTGAAAGACAGGTTACTGTAGAGCAGGAGGAGCAAATTTTAAATATCGTGGAAATCAATGCAGATATAGTCCATAGAACCCTACGGGAAAATTTGCTTTATCCCTACCATGTGCGACAAGTGCAGGCCTTGTTACCAGAAGACTATCCTCGTCAGTGGTTTTTGCACAAAAACATTGAAAATCCGAATTTTTTTAAAAACATTCTAGGGACGGGCGAATGTACTTTTACGCAGGACGGGATATTAGATTTCCATAAGACCCATTCGCGGGCCCAAGAAAATCCTCATACCACTCGTAAAGATTATTTTCAACAACGTTTTAAAATAAATATTTGGGCGGGTATTCTTCACGATCAGGTAATTGGCCCTTTCGAGTTACCCCCAAAGTTGTCAGGAGAAGGATACCTTAGCTTTCTATCCAATAACCTACCAGAACCTTTGGAGCAGACCTTAGACAACATGCCATTACAACGGAGACAGAATTTGTGGTTTCTTCATGACGGGGCACCACCACTATTTTTAGAAGCGTCATTCAGTATTTGAATGAGCATTATCCAAATCGCTGGATCGGTCGAAATGCTCCTGATCGAAAATGGCCATCAAGATCTCCTGACCTCAATCCGATGGATTTCTGGTATTGGGGATAACTTAAAGGGATGGTTTATGGGGCTGGTCCAATAACAACTGAAGCAAAACTTCGCGAAAAAAAAATTAACGCGGCTGAAATAATAAATGGACAACTTCGAGGACCTAGAGTAAGAAGAAACTAGGTTCGTGGTAATGAAGCTTATGTGGAAAGTGGAGGACGACATTTTGAACACCTTCTTTAAATACAAAAAATTGCAGTGTGGGTTTTAAAAAGAAAAACAATGTATGTATCAAAATTGTGTTCAGTATTTATAGGTGGAACTTTTTAATACGTTCAGTAAACTTTCACACACCAGGTGAAGCGCTGAGACAGTTAGTGGTAAGTCCGTTTTTTTCTAATTGTTTGCATTTTACGAGTATATTATCAAATAATAAACTCCATCTTTATTTACACTGCGTTCCGTCGTAATTTGCGTCTGGCATTGCGGCGTTGTCAGATTTTATTTTATTTTAAAGTCGCATTTCTCAAAAAATGCCGTTTTGACCCCCATGTTATATGAAACTTTTTGCTCTTTTAACCCCTGTATCACCCATTTAAATAATGACTATCATAACGTTTTCACCCTGTATAATTTTGCTCTTTTGAATAGCGCTATTCTGCATAGAATTGAGGTTCTTTGAACGAGTTTATCGAAAAAATTGTCAACAGTGTAATTAGCAATCGTTGAAGAAACTTCCTCTACCTCTTTCTAATGTATTATGCGGAGATGTACAACCGCAACTTCTTTTCTCAACATTCCAAAATATTTTACAAGAAGAATGTCATCGAAATTACAAAAAAAAAAAACATTTTCGAGAACAGCTCATGGTCAAAAAAAATATTCATTTTCAAAGTGACATTTTTTCAGTTAACTTAAAGTGACTCGAGTTTACAGTACCGTGTGGTAGTAGTAGTAGTGAGGAGGCGAAGCCAGGGAAGTAGGCTACATTTGGCCCTTTTTGCTGACCCTGAGTAACAGTCTACTCCCCATGCTAGTTCACCAATCCGATCTGATCTCTTGATAAATGCTTAGATGACCAACCATTCCACTGAGTAAGCAACTTCACCATCAAACTCCATGGACTATTCAGTCTGCAGTGACCGGTTAGAACCCAACCACCACCAAAAGGTAGTCCAGTAATCGACGTTGCCATGCTATTCCTAAGTGCCTACGTTGTACACCCATTTATTCAGGCGGTGCTGACCTGGCCCCAGCCTTGGCTCGGCACCGTTGCTGGGGCCTCTTGATCTCCAGGCTAGCCATGCCATCAGCTTTCTCGATGCCTGGCGCTCCGATGAGTCCAAGGACCCAGAGCAGGGACACTTCCTCAGATCTGGCTAAAGTGCCGTAGCATATTCCTAAATTCAGGGTTACTTTGTCCTCGGGGATGCTACCGCTTTCAAGGCTGCTTGGCTGTCGGAACATACAGTACCGTGAAGCTTCTCTGAAAGTTCATGGGAGGACATGCCAATGGAGCAAATTTAAAATACAGCAAACACAAAATTTAGTACAACGAAATACAGTTAGCATTTCCAAGAACATCTTTGATTTAATTATTGAAAATAAGTATAAGAAATTATATACATTTGGAGCCAGAAAAAAAGCGACTACCACTTTCACCAAGAATATATTCTGTGTTCCATTTGAAAAAGTACAACATTATACGATATCACTTTTCTGATAGCTTCTATATAAAAAAATACTTGCCTACCAAACTTTGTATTAGACCCTCTAACTTTTGCATCAAGCTGTGCTTCAGGTTACAAAAATGAATACCGAAATGACATTTTTCATACGCTCACGCCTCCACGTTATTTAAACTGTTGAGCTTCTTGCTGTGCTTGAGATCATCAGAATGACCGTAAGTACTTCAAAGATGTAAAGCTTTTGGGACAGATGATCAGAATATTTTCTGATCTGCAGCTTAATCGGTAAGCCTTCCTTAACTTACCAAATATACTTAATGACATATAAAATGCAACACCGACTAGGAGTGCTGCAACTTTGAGCATATTTTTACAAGTTTTAGGTCTACTGATGAATAGAAAGTGATTAAAATTTCAACTCGAGATTTCGCAAAGTAGCTGACATATCCCACCTTAACGTTAACAATGTGTTGAAGCTCGTCTGTTCGCTACACATTCGTCAAATCGCGGAATTGATTCGATTAGGTGAGGTATTCTTGGTGTATTGCATCCCAGGTCATCTGAATTTGGTTTCGTAGAGCCTCCGATGTTTGTGGAGGGTGCGGTGAATGTTGCAACCTTCTTCCCATGATGTCCCATACATGTTCGATGGGGCAAAGGTCTGGAGATCGAGGAGGCCACTGAAGCAGATTAACTCCGGACGCTTCTAGAAAGTCTAAACTAACTCGTGAGGTATGAGGTCGTGCATTGTCCCGCTGCAAAAGTGGATCTTGCAATGTTTCCAAAAAGGGAAGCAGACGTGGTTGTAAAACTTCATGGATATAGCGCTGGGCAGACATGTTACCTCGAATGAACACTAATCGTGACCTGCTGCCGCAAGCAATGGTACCCCATACCATAACACCCACAGTGCGTCTTTCATCACGTCTCCACCTTAGGGGAGGCCGGGGACGGTTGACTAGTTTTTTACATCATACATATTTTTTGTGCCTTTATACATACAGACAATAAATCAATGGATAGCAGAAATATTGAACTTATACAAAAATATAAAAGCTAGTCCATTATTCAATATAATGATCATAATTTAACGCATTTTACAGAACACCAATTCTTTGTCAATTTACACCGGCTCCGGGGTAGATTGACTGTATGCCCGGGGTAAGTAGACTTACGTATCAATAAGACAAATTATGAGAAGAGTCAAGTTATGAAACTTTTTTTATAATTTAACAAAGCTTTTTATTCAAAAGCAATTTTAGTCAGTTACAGACATTATCTTACAATAAGTCTTTAACAAAATTATCAACTCCTAGTTTTTATTTAAACATTCATTAGTTTCATTAATTAAACAGTTCCTTTATGTCTTATAAAATAAGTCTTCAATATCAGAAGCGCAATGTTTGCATTAAAAAAAACATTAGGTCACCTCTTACACATTTGGAACTTAAAAGTTATGCACTGAATCCATTGTTCGCCTGGAACATTATCGATGTAGGATTCAGTACACTCTAAATAAATTGTACTCTTGTCTGAATCTACAGCATTACCGTCATTTTCATCGACGGTGTCATCAGCTCTCAGCTTTATCCGTTCCTTTTCCTTTACCCTTTCCTTTTTCTATTCTGTCCTTTGTATCTGTTTTTTTCTTCTTATATGTTTCTCTTTTGTTTTTCATATCTAAAAGATTTAGTTTTTCCAGGGTGTCGGTATATATAGTACTTTTACGTTTCCGAATATTTCTTCTATTTTCTAAAATTAGCGCGCGCCGCTTTTGGAAAGGGTCTTAGCTCTTCAAATGTTGCTGGTGAAGTTGAGGAAAGGTTTAGATGGTGTAAAGATGGAGCCACATTTGCTTCTGTAGAGTGAGAGTTTTCTGGTGTTTTGAGGTTTTCTCTCAGTTTCAGTTCAAATACAGAATTAAATGTTCCGTCAAAAAGAGAAGGTGACTCACATTTAGTCCTCAAAGATCTTGTAGGAGAGGGTGTTGTGGTAGTAATCTGGTCTGTATTTACAGATAAACATTGCGGTGCCAGAGAGTGAGTTTCAGTTATTGCATGGTGATCAGGAATTGGAACCTCTTCGACGATAGACAACCTGTTAGATGCATCGGAAGTCGATGGAACATCACATGCTGAAGGATTATCACCATCACGGGAAGTGAGCATCGGCCGATCTGTCATATAAGAACCACTACTGCAACTGTCACCAGTGTACCCCTCTCAGCAGATGTCATCTTGCCTAGATTTTTGACACCACGTCGTGCTATTACTCTATTAGGTACGTGCATGGTTGTCAAACCAGTTTCATTAACGTTGCAGATATCACCAGGGCTTAAATTGAAACATTGGTAAACAGCAGTTAAATTAGCGAAGAACATACTGACGTTATGTTTGTTGAATGATGTAGCTCTTGAAAGGCTTGTTGCTTGAGGTGTCCTTATGGATAAAGAAGGATGACGTTTGAGAAACGAGCCTAACCAATCTTCGCCAGCTAACAATTTTGTTCTCCAAGAATCAGGCATAGCTTTGTTACTTTTTATGGCGAACCATAATAAATATCAGCGGCTTTCTTTAAATAACTTGCTAAAGCTTCTTCATCTTCATCAGTGAAAACTTGCCTATTTTTAATATACCCCACTAAGTCCAAAGTTAATTCTGCTCTCAAGTTCGAATTACGTTCCAATTTCTCCTTTAGTTTCGACACATAACGATGTAATGTCTTGTAGGAAATGTCACATTGTTTTGAAGTTGCATTAATACTTTTTGTGTCAAAAATTATTAGATGACAAGCTCTTTCTAGGACATCTTTTGGTGGATCAGCTCGATCAGTCCTTCTTTTATAGGTCCTCATTATACTGTAACAAAATGAATATTAAAACACGAATAAAAGGTTAATTTACGAGATATTTTAAACTTCAAATTATATTGGGGTTGGTTGACTAACTATTCAACCCCGAAAGAAGTTAGTCTTCCAACCCCAGACGCCATTTTGAGTTTCAATGGCATGGGTGTTTACACTGCCATTAACTTAAGAAATAATACATGAAATATTATCAATATGCACTCACGAAACACTTTCGACTAATAGGCAAATGGTTAACATAAAATGTGTAAGTGTCAGAGGGAAAAATATACTATTCGTCGTTATTCGTCAGAGCGGTCCGATGGACCTTTGCTCTTAGTTAAAAGTCTCGTCGGTCTGTCAGGTCTGGCTACCCAGATACCAAACATGTTTAAGGGGAAAAGGGAAAGAATGAAAGAAAGGAAGGAAGAAATAGAGCAAAGAAAAGAAGTAAATTATTTGAAATAGCTTAAGCACTATTGCTTTGACTACTCGAACTAATTTTTAAACCCAAAAAATAATTTTGATCGGTTTTGTATATTGAAATAGTGTTGGCTGGTCTGAATTTACTATTTAATTTTGATCACAGTGCGAGGCGCGGCCTGGGATGTTTGCGAACTTACTCGACTGTGTAGTCTACTGAATCACGCAACAGAGGGTTGCCGTGCGAATAGAAAAATATGCAATATGAAAATATTACTTACAGAATACGAAAACAAATCACGTGTCACTGCTCGAAAACGGCGTGCATCCGCGACGTGGCGCTCCGGACGACTGAGCGGGGGTCGGAGAGTAATGCGCTCCTGGGCTGGGATGACGTAATACTCATATCGTTGACGAGTTTTTGGCGGTTAGTCTACCTACCCCTATAGTCAACCATCCCCGGTCTCCCCTACTCTTGCACTGTCATCATGTGTGCCCAAACAGGATCTGGACTCATCCCTGAACACGACTGAATTCCATTCCATACTACATTAAAAAAGACCTTATTCGGCGATAAACTCTCCTCCCCTTCCGACAGCATCAAATCACTGGTTCGCAACTGTCCTTGTTGTCGAAAATCGATCTCTAAGCGCTAGTTGCGTCAAATAACCATCCTGTCGCTCTGTAGGTTGTCTTTGACGTCCAGTAACCTCTAGCTCGTCGATCTCGGCCTTCTTGGAACCATTCTCGACAACAACTCATTACAGTAGCTTCGTTTCGCTTCACCCACTAGCGCTTTACGAATATTAAGCAAACATGTTCATACTGTTCTGATCCTGATATGACAAGAAAGCCTTGACAAAAAACGAAATGCCTTCAACATTTTATCAGCGTATACTTCCATGATAGTAAATATGTTTACAAATTTTTATCAAAATTCAATAAATAATTCTGGGTGTTGCATTTTACATGTCACTTAGTGTAGCTCTCTCATAGCAGCTACTGTGTTTAAGCTCTTAGTCCCTAGAAAACGCGGAGATCTGTTCTCCTCCAAGAGTCCAACGAACTAATCCTGAAGGTCATTCGTGACCCTGCACGCATCAAGAGCCAAATAAATTACTCCAGGAGAATATTGAATAATCCACAGCTCTTCCTACGCCTCTGCCTAAATCCTGCGCAGGCTCCTTAAAACGGTCCTGGTTCCCTAGTCGTCATAACATCCCGCCGCGTTTTCACTGCAAGCCCGTACCTCGGGCTAAAGTAACCACGCTAAGAGAAAGACGAGACATGTAGTGACAGCCGCGAACACTTTTCCTCCTCAAAACATCCGGTCCACCAGCTGACTTCCAAAACCACTCTCAAATGGCGGGGGTGAAATATACACAGACCGTGAGTTGTTTTGGGTATTGTTTCAGTAGTTGCTGATGTGTCGCTTTTTTATGATTCGCTCTGCTGTTTTTTAACAGCTGATAGGGGTACAACTAGTTTCTGGGTGCATGCACTTTCTGTAGATGCTTGTTTTTTTTGTGAGAAGTTAGCTACAAATAAATGCTAAAGTGGGCAAAGTTGAAGATCCAACTGTTACACAACATTATAAGAAAAGATTTAACATTCGACTTCAACTCTAGTAATCAATACGATTGTTAGAATAAGTTCGCGGATCAGTAGGTAAAAGCGATAACTGAGGCATAATGGTGTGATTACTCAATGCAAAAGTACTGCCAATGAAAGAGACGAAACTACTTTTATAGCCTGAGCGAAAGAGGATACAGTAATTATGAGAACCTCAAGATTTAAGATTTAACCTTATTTTCCATTTGACTGTACAACAGTGTAGGAAATTGTCATACAAAAAAATAATACAAAACGATAAAAAAGCAAAAGCACAGATCAACAAACAATTGGCATAAAATAACATGTACCAAAGAAACAGTCATAGTGAAACGAGCCGGTACTCAAGAGTATAATACGGATGAGAAAGCAAATCTTTAAGACATTTCCCAAAAAGTTGTATAGGCATGCTATCTCTAACTGAAGTTGGGAGGTGATTATAAACTCTTACTCCCATGTACTTTGAAGCATTATAACATTTAGCATTGTTAAAGGGATATGCAGATTATTTTTATACCTTGTGTTCCAAAGATGAACATCATAGTTATTTTTGAATTTTATTCGGTTTCTACAGATGTAAACACTGATCTCATAAACATAAAGAACGATCGGCTTCTATTTAGCGCTCTCCTTAACAGTTTTCAAGCCACGTACGCATAATGATAGCATTCAATTTTGGTTGAGCTCAAACAGCTTATGCTCATACCCATACCCAAAAATGAGTTACTTGAAAAATTGTTTAAGCAATTGCCAGCTGAGGTGACGCTTATACATGCTTCGATCTTCTACTTTTAAACGGCTGAAAGGGGTAAATCTCGTTTCACTTCTCACTTTCTTTTGTTGCTTGGTTTTTTTGTGAAAAGTTAGTTACAAATAAATTTAAGATTAACCATAGGCTAACACTCATTTGCCCAAACGAGAAAAGCTGAGGGTCTATCATTATAAGAGATAAAAGTCCACGACCTTATAAAGGAATGTTTAGCATTCAACGTCAACGTTAGTAATCAATGAGATTTTTAAATTAAACTCGCGGATCACTGGATTAATACGATCATCCAGGCAGAGTGATGTGAATACTCAATGCAAAAGAATTGCCGATGAGGAATACGAAACTATTTTTCTAGAAAGAGTGAAGGAAGATACTGTAATTATCAAAACTCACTGTGATTGCGTTAGTAAAGCGTAAAATGGTCAGCTTCTCTCTTACTTCCATTTAGCCGTCTCTTTGTATATAATAATAACAAAACGTCTTTATTGGTCGATGTTTATCCACAAAATAAACTATAAAAAGAGCGTATACCATTCAAAATGCAGAGGTTTCAACGTGGAAAATGAATTAAGTCAGCAAAATAAATCAAAATTGGATAAAAGTGAAAAGTATAACATTATACATACTGTAGAATGATGATAATGCATATATTATAAGCAAACGCGAGAGATAAATTCATGTTAATGATTGCTCAAAAATGATTTTTTTAAATACTTTTTGAAATCCTCGAAGTTTAAAGCTTTAGTATCAAAGGGTAAAGCATTGCACATGATAGTAGCATTATAAGTAAAACATTTAGTAAGAAATGAAGATCAGTAAGGAGGCATTGTTATTGTACCAATAAAGCGAATATCTCACAAGATTTTAACTCATCTCGAAAAAGAGAAAATTTAAATAGATTAGGGACAGATAACCACTCCAATTTTATGAACGAGGAAGTAAGGTGGTAATATTTTTTAACAAGTTACAGATTAATGTGCAACATGAATTTTGACTTTTTTGCCTGCGCTTGACGGATTCTGAATCTAAAAACGGATGATACATAAATGTCACAGTATGTAATTTTTGAAGTAATTAATGACACTCAGAGATGCTTTTTTAGAGTTTAATCGAGCATTTGTTTGTTCAAGTATAATTGCCGAAGTAGTCAACTTTTTATAACATCCTTCACATGAGAAACAACATCCAGGCATTCGTCAAGAGATATGCCTAGATTTTTTTCAGCTTCATATACTTTTATAACTTCACCATTTAATGATATAGTCGAATATTCCTTAATTTGATTTCTGAGTTTTTTAGAAGAGAATATAGTTAATTTTGATTTTTCTGGATTTAATCTAGCATTATGAATTTTTGCATACTTATAGATAGAACTCAACAAATATTATATTGTCAGTATTAAAATTATTGTAGAACTGCGAGTCATCCGCAAAAAACTGAATATTGCAGTGTTTAACAACCTTGTCCAGATCGGAGATATACAAAATAAAAAGAAGTGGCCCAATAACGGACCCTTGAGACACTCGCGATGATATTAAAACCTCAGGAGTGGTGTTCATATCGATGGCAACTTTTTGTGATCCAGTTTTCAGAAAGCTACTGATTAGAGCAACTGAAGTTCAAAAGTCAGACATAAATTGATGTTATGATAGACATTCATATGATGTGGACGCATAGACTGAGCTGTTTTGAATATTGTTTCTGTAGTTGATGTGATGCTTTTTATGCTTCGCTTTGCTACTTTTACAGCTATACACCTCAATTCTGGATGCATGCACTATCTTTAGTAGCTTTGATTTATGGAAGAAGGGTGCTACAAATATGGTGATACTATTTAAGCTCAGGTTGATACACATTTGTCACATTTCATCAGAAATAAATTCCATGACATTATAAGAGAATGTTTAACATCCCGCTTGAACTTTAGTCATCATTAAGATTGCCGAAATTAACTCGCAGATCGTTGGATCAATATAGCCATCGGGGCAAATTATTTTTATGAAGCATTTAGAGGCGCACAAGGACTCTCAAACTTCTTGTGACTATAGCGTTAGAGAAGTAAAAATATTTAATCAGGAGGAGTGGAGCCTCCCGGCTACTTTTACTTAGCCCTTCTGAAATTTTTAAATCACGTACATATTATAATTATGGTTCACTTAAGCAGCTAGTAATTATAACCACAGCTGAGCAGAGTTTCGAAAATCAGAGATCATCTGATAGTGATGGTCACCTCCTAGCGCACTGCATACTGGATTTTTCAGTTGACCATGTCTGCTTGTTTGCTTTTCGTAATCTGCCTCCAAGTCTAAATCTGTACAATCTTGTATTCTGTTGGTCATGGAACCATCAGTTCAGGTGACAGTGACAGCTAGTCACGCATTACATACCTGTCTTGCGGTAGATCGTATCGATCATTTTCCGTTGCCTATCTACAAGGCTAGTACTAATGATTGCTAGTTAACGTGGAGCAACGTTGTGTACGATTGGTATGATCACTGAGAAAAAAACGTCCTATACAGCCAACATTATGTTGTTACTAAGTTCAAAATGTGCTACTGTTTATTAGGTTCTCAAGATTGATGAAACCCTCATGGTGTACCAGATCTTTTCGGGATAAACTGTGATATTCCCAAAGAGACCATCAAATTAGCATTCTTCAATAAACTGACTCTTACACAAGTATGCTTGAAATGATCTTTCGAATCTAAAAAGAAATATTTTCAATTTTGATACTATTCCTGTCATCGTGAATAAGATACACAGATACACCCTGTACTAATATCAGGACATTACATTATTGATATTTCCAGTTAGATAGAGCCTACTGGATGGTGATATTTTGTTCATTTTGTTGGACGGCCGCCAAATTTATTGATTAAGTTTCATATAATACAAATGGCCATGCCACGTGTCACCTCCTTTTTTTATTATAAAACACATTAATAACTGTTCGCTACGATGTATTGAGCTTTTTAGACGATTTTTGGTATTCTAACATACATTATCGTCCCCTACTAAGCAACGCCATGGCAAATGCTTGTTCCGGAAGTTGTTGCGCTCTAATGAATACCTCAGTATCGACAGCTTGGTGGCGGTACAAGTCCGCCAAAGGGCCACCTTGACTCTATGTAACATCAGCAATAAACAAAAAGAAGGTAAGAAGGTGGTAATCATTTACAATTTAGTACATAAGTTCTCGCGCACGGTCTGGAATTCCGGGCCGATTTTTTTCTGTTTCTGAGTTTATATTTTTTCACTATTTTTTGTTTATTGTTCTTTCTTTATCAATTACATTTATTAAGTAACACAAACAGTTTTGACTTGTGCAGAAGTGCTTGCCAGGTTCTTTGTTGTCAAATTCACCATGGCCGTCCCCCACAACGCCGGTGTACCGTTGATTCCAAGAGTACCTTACACTACTCCGGAAGTAACCTTCGGGCATAAGACCATGAGACTGGTGCGCTTGTCGCTTAACATCAACAGAGCTTCTGGTCCTGACCCGATTCCTGCTCCATGCTCCCAGAGAATGTCCAGCTTGTACTAAAGAACGGATCTGAGGCCGAACAGTATAATATGTAGGTACAGACCTACAGCTCTGCTTTCTGTTATCAGCTAGGTGATGAAGATGTGCATAAACAGGTAGCTTCTAGATTATCTCGAGCATCACGGGCTTGATCAGCCTCAGCTTCTTTCCTAAGTCATCCCAGAGAACCTGTGCAGATGGGCTGACTCCACACCGGACGCAAGATATGCATAGTAACTGACAGCTTCTCCACTTGATCCCACAATAACGCGGAGGTTCCCCAGGGATTAGTCTTGGTCCTCAATAGAGTTTTTATTACATATCAACGGCTTCCTATTCTGCATGGTCAATCCCGGCCACAGCTTTGCCGATGACAGCACTCAACACACGGGCAATAGCAACAGCTGCAGGTAAAAAGCTAGGTTATTTGCTTGGGGCTGAGAAGTACTTTTCTCCACGTAACCTCCCCACTCTTCAGAAGGTCCA